ATTTTTTTCACCTCAATACTGTTAAGGTAGAAAAAAATTGTTGAAGTAGCTAATAAGGTGGAAAAAAAGTGATGATGTGGCATGTTGAGAATAACCAGTGATATTGTTGATGTGATATCTTTGGATATAAGAGATTTCCTAAAAAAAAGAAATAGAGAAAAAACATTTTTTATTTAGTTATAAAAAAATTAGAAAAGAGATGAAAAAAAAAATTTTTATTATTTTTTTTAATTTAATTATTTATCTAAATAAGGAGAAAAATTCCCCTTTTATCCCCTCAACCCAAATGGAGTTTAAGTGTAGTTTTATTAGTTTATAATTTTTTTAATTAGTTAATTATAATATTTGAAAATATTTATTTATAAATTAATTTTAATTTATTAAATAATAAATAATATTAATTATTTTGTCAATTATCAGTTATTTTTAATTTTTAAATTAGGTTAAAATTTTAATAATTTTAATAAATTAACAAATTTGATAGTGGTCTTACTGGGATATTTTAGGCAAAATCTAACTTTAACCCCTCACCTTATTCAATTTGAAGGTTTTAACCTTTTATCTTATATTATGACACTTTTAGTCCCTTATTTTACTAAATTTGTGGGTTTTAACCTATCACCTTGTAATATGACACATTTACCTCTTCACCTATTAAAATTGAAGAAAATAAGCCTCACTTTGTAATATTTTATTAATTCTGTTAACTGATTGTTAATTTTATTAGTTGACTGTTAATTGATTGTTAATTTGACAAAAACCTTCTTTTAATTAACAGAGTTAACAGAACTAATTTTATAATATTTTGTTTATTCTGTTAACTAACTATTAATTGACTGTTAGTTGATAAAAACTTACTTGCAACTAACAGAGTTAACAGTCAGTATAAAATGAGAATTATTTTCTTCGAGTTTAAAAGGTGAGGGGCTAAAACTTATAAATATAATAAGGTGAGGATTTAAAAGTGTTATAGTATAAGGTGAGGAGCTAAAACCTTTAAATTTGGTAAAGTGAGGGGCTCAAAGTAGGTTTTTGCCAATATTTTTCAAGTGATCACCATTGTTTAAGCTGTCTAATTTCGTTTAGTTTAGTTTAGTAATTGTAGAAGTTTTTTAACTCCTAACCTTGAATACGAGTTAAGAGTTTTTTTTTTTTTTTGGTAAATTGGAGGGTAAAAATTTGGCTAAACCCAATCCACCAGCATTTCCATTGGGTTGCAAGATACAAATTGCCAAGGGGAAAAAAAAAAAAAAGAATGAAAGTCTAAACAGAACATATACAAGCAACTGTTTCTTTCATTTTTTAGATTTCTTGACTGATTTTGGGGTTTTTTTTAATAGAAAAAGAGAAACATCTAAAGCATTTAAGTCTTGGGCGGTGGCCCAGTGCTTAACAGTTTCTTCAACAATTTTTGTGCTCAACCAATGAATAGTTCACCTCGCTCTGTTGTATGTCTCAAGGTTAAAGAGGCAATAAAGCTTCACTTTTAACAAATAAAACATATATAAGCAACTAAGATGGTGCTTAATTGTTTAATGATCAATGACAAAGTAGGTGAACAATGGCACGCTTTGTCTCAAACCCCTTTATTGCTTGTCTTCCAAAGCCTCGAACATCCAAAAGAAATAATAGAGAATGAAGGGACTAAAATGGTTTGTGTTACATTAAAGAAAGCATCAAATCAACCATCTGCAGCTTTCATATGGGCATGCCATTTGCATCCAAGAACTTCAAGACAAAACACATTTTAAGAGAAGAATGTTTGTACGTCTGTCTCTGTCATACATTATTGTTCAATCAAACGCTTATGAGGTCCTAAGAAAGATTTCTCCTCCCTATATTCCAACCTCTGTCTTTTACCCTCCTCCAAACCAAGTGAAAAGAAAAAGGCACCCATCTTCTCCAAAAGCTACAAAAGGAGCTTTTGGGGACAAAAAGCCGAAGCATCCGCCAATCTATTATGCCTCCAAGCATATCCTTCCAAGTACTACTTTCAACATTGTTTTGGAGCCTTTTTCATGTCCACTTCTGCTTTTCCCTCTTCCTTCACTTTCACTACCCAAAAGCCAAAAGTAGTCTCTTAGATTAGCCACAACCTTTTCTTCTTGGACTTTGCAGCTCCCTTGCCGATTCTCATTCCCTTTTCTAAATCATTTAGAATTTTACTGATCCTCTAAATATCTTACTTTAACACAACCCAACATTCCATCCTATATATATAGAGACACTAGAGTTCATTTCTTTTGCATCCAAGAGGAGAGAGAAACACAAACTCTGTACCTCATCA